AATACGAACAAAAGAGTCACGTGCGTGAGCAAAAATACTTGCGAGAGATAATTTGTGTAAAGTTCTCAAATGATACGTAAAATATTGTGTACACAAAATAATGGGAAAAAAAATTCTTCGTTGAAGAGCTCAAAAACCAATTATGTTAAAAACGTACGTCATAAAAGAGACAGGCTGAAAGATTTTGCCGAGGCGAAACGGACGTAAACACTTTGTTACATAGTATATGAATGCGCGCACATTCACGGTATTACTTTCAGACAGATTTAATACGCATGGTTGTTGTAAAATGCGCTATGTGGGAGGCTAGCTTACCGCTAGACTTGCAAAACTACCGCCGACCGGCGACTGTACGCAATTACTCCTCGTCGTATCTTGAATTCTCTTTAGATAGCGCTTGGCACGTCTCGCTGGTCACGGAAGTAAAAAAAATTGCTTAGTGAACGCACTAAGTGCTGGTGGTCTCGTAGCCTCCGCACGCTCACACATACACACACACGAGCGATTATCGCGTTTTGCCTACGATTTAACCTTCCACATTTACCATTGCGACCTCAAATAATAATATACCGTGTCTTGACATCGTTTTTCAAGAATAAACGCAAGAGCACACCGAGGTGAAGAAATTAGTATCGTCGAGTGTACACTTTCTCTTTCCCACACAAAGTAGAAACGTGATCCTATCTCGTGATTCGAAAGAGACTGCACGAAGAATTTGTGTGTATGTTTTTTTTTTTTTTTTTTTCTAACAGAATATTAACGGTTTAATGAGAATACGTCGACGAAGATACATCAAGTCGAGGACGACATTGAAAAGCAAATTGTTTGCTAATGTAGCGAAACTTTAATTCATTCTCGGTGTGTGGACATTAGCGAACAAAAAAAAAAGGCGGAAAGAAGCGAATCCGCAGGCGTTTCGCGTCAAAATTTTATACACATAACGAAACATAATGACGGATAATGACAAATTAACTTTCTCTACAAGCGGTGGCAGTGCGCCACAGTCTTGCTCATCGTGTCAGAGCGAGTAGTCGATAAATCACGGTTAAGATTTGTACGCCGAAAGAGATTTCTCGATAGATCGTTCAGCCTGAATTGAAAGAAGTGGCGCGATAATAACATCGTGTTTCTTCTGCGAACGTGGCCGGAAGTATGCGGGGCGGCGTCGTTCACAACGAACGAATCTTCTTTAACGAGTCGAAATCTTTCGATTACGCAAGTTTAAAATGGTTTGTAATAACAGTCTAGTCAATCGATTAACGTGAGATCGTTAATCTTTTTGAAAAAAATTGTATATAAACGCAATTCTGCGCGATAGAACTTTTCACTTAAACTCGCACAACATTTTTCTCAAAAAGAACAAAGAACAAGTGTTATTTTATATCACACAAAGAGAACATATAAAAAATATTTAATTCTATCAAAAATTATCTCACTTCTAGATTGTTTAAACTAGAAAAATTGTGAAATTTATTTTTACGATTGTTTAAACTGTATAGAAAAATTTGAAAAATTTATTTTTGCGACACACGCTAGCGAATAACGCATATATTTAGGTGTCCTCATTTAGCCGAGACACCCTGTAGAGAACTACTCTTGGTAAGATGATCTATTCTTCGAAACAATTTAAACGATCCAACAGCCGGAGTTGATCTTCGAGTCGCTCGGAGGTACAACCGCACCTAGAGAGTTATCGGTTCGGCTCGTCTCAGATTAATCTCCATTCTGGTAGTGATATCGTTCCGATTTTCTTTTTTCTTGTTTTTGTTTTCTTTTTTTTTCGCTAGTCACGATATCTCGTCATTATACGCGCGTTTCTCATCGATGCAAGCCGATACGCTCAGAACGCGATCGGTTTACGAACGGTCACGCTCTGAAAAATCGAAAAGCGTATTTATGCAATGGTGAAATTTTCGCGTTACAAGCCGATAATATTTTGACTAGCGCGAATCCCGCAGCACGGTGTGTGTATTAGATAATGGAACATATCCGCCATGACACTCTTAATAAAATTTAACAAGAGCTCTCTCTCTCCCGCTTTCTCTCTCTTTCACACACACACACACACACTCTCTCTCTCTCTCTCTCTCTCTCTCTCTCTCTCTCCATTCGAGATAGTGACGTGTTAGAGATTAAAACGTAATCGCGACGAAATTATTATTTTTCTATTTCATTGTGCGCGGGGGATTCGATTACGTTTTATCTCGTTCAAGCAATAATTGTTAATTCCGTAATGTGAGATAATGTCAGGTTCGTTGAATTATTCAATACACACACACACACACACACACACATACCGACCAACCGCTCGAAGCTTTATCTACTTTTACTATCGCCGCAACTTCTCGCGTGATCCGACATGCCGTTTCACTCGTCGTCGACCGACATAAGGACACATTATCACCGCCGTGACAGAATTATAGACGTGTCTGACTCGTGACGTGCTTTGAGAACCCGCATCTCTCTTTTTCTTATGTATGACCGTCACACATTACGTTCATCTAATGCAAGTTATTTCCTGTTGTGTATCACGTAATATTTTCCACGATGTCATTGTCACGAACATAAACGATGTTTTAAGGCAAACTTACGGAGACACGTCTCATTAGTGAGCAAACGAGAGTGTCATCAACAAAAAAAAAAGTAATTGTTGAGTTAAATTGTGCATTTGTTGATTTTGTTGTTTTTTTTTTTTTTTTAAATTGCACAACTCGGCGTATCGTAACGTACCGCCAAGGTTATTGTCCCGACATTACCGTCGAGGCCTTCAACTTGAGATGAGCCGACGACATTCCGACAAGTAGAAAATCAGTTGAGGAGGCCTAGAAAGCGTAGAGCTGGAAAGACCGGATATATGCTTTTAATTTCTTCGGAAGAGAATAATTTTCTCGCACTTTTTACTATCCTATAAGTATTACGCAACCATAGAAATTTACTTTCCGCGTACAACTTGATTTCTACCAAAGTTTTACTTTTTTTTTCTTTACTTTTTTTTCTCAATCTGAATTCTGTTTAAGTAACTCTTCCATCAAATTCTTTTCTAAATATTTAAGACATATGTGTGCGTGTGCGTGTTTTTGATATATGCAAAAAACATATTTATCCGTAGATCTGTAGATACGTCTATCACACTTGTTAAATAAATCTAAAACAGAGAAGAAATTGTTCCGGGGTATCGTCGTATCGGGGTTATCGTTCGCGTGGTGTGAAACTACAAGTGAGACGATGAATGTCAATAGCATCCGTGGACCGCCGCTGCCGATACAGCATCTCTCTTTCTCTCTCTCTCTCTCTCTCGTCTCACATTCCCATGGCAGCTTGACATCGTGCAGCTGCATCGCTATGGATTCAACTATAAATTACATGCTACCTCGCGGAGAGGAGAGCGAAAGAAGGGATAACGTTGGTCGTGTTTCTCTTCTCGAACGCATATATGCACGTAGCCTTTTACGATTCTTTAATATCTGTCGCTAAACTTTCCCATGAAAGCGCCGACCGCTCCTTGGGTTACCGCGCAACGCACCGATAGATCTTTTACATCTTTCCCGGCCTCCTTAGCACACCCGTACGCATTTTGTCACGAACACACTATACTTGTTCTTCTTTATCAGATTCCACGCGCTCAGTCGCACGTATACCCCTTCGTGTGTAATGAGAAACCGGTGCGTTTGCAATGTAGATCGAAAAAATTATAAAAACAAAAAAACCACCTTCTCTTAAGACGTTTTCTCACGATTTTATACTTTATAATTTGATACGAAATGAAAATTCTCTCAAGTGTCAGTGAGAGAAGTAATAAATTCTTTGCGGCGTGCCGCGCGAGAGAAATTGTTTGTTATTAATAACGCGTCTCTTTTCAAAGTACGTGACACTCTCGCATTTCTCTCGTGCGAAAAGCGTAAAAAGAAAAAAAAAAGAAAATAGTCTCAAGCTACTACTTTAGAAAGACGCGTGCGTGGCGTTTTCACAATTTGCCCATTAGTCATAATTCAATTTCATCCATTAACTAGCGGTAGTAACCGATCTGCCGACGGCGGCGCGGAGTTCTGTGAATAAAGTCATCCCCGACGCTTGACCAGCGCTTGATTTATACACTCCGCACATTCCCGTCGGTTAGAAAGAGACATTTGCACTTTCATAACGAGCTTGTTTCCACTGCCTCCTGTCATCATTACTCCTTTTGTTCAAATGAGAAATTGACAATGAAGGCGAGATGAAGGTAAGGAAACGAATTGGAAAACAAAAATAACCAAGCGCCGAGCAAGAAGCACGCTGCGTGAAAGCAAACTGCGATATAACTTGTGCTCGCCGAACGGCGATCGCGTCGTTGGTGCTGTGTGTGAGATAAGTAGAACAATCACACATAATCATATGCAATCTATCAGAGAAAGTGGGCTAATACAGGCCGCGCGGAGTGATATCCGACACCTTTTGTTTCTCGCGCAAAGATTGAGAAGCCCGATTTGAGGAAAACGCGAACACACACATACACACACGGGCGTTACACGAGAGAGCTCGCTTCTATCTCAAAAGGCAGCTTGACCTGCTTCGGAAGCGATAAATAAATTTTTCTTCTGTACTCGCCGCCGTGTAACGTTTAACCTTTACGTTCTGATTGGCGTGCGCGGAAACAGCCTCCCGTAGGTAAGCCGCGCTTACTTTCTTCCGGCTCGATCTCGCGCGGCGCGGAACCCCTCTCCCTCCCCCGCTATATTAATAATTGCTACACTCAACAGTGTCGTTGAATCGCCGGTGTAGTATTCGAGTATGTTTGTTGATCGTGTTGAGAGATGCATTTTGTTTTACGTTTTATTTACGTGTCTGGATAGAGTTTACATTTTGATAGCGATGTGCGATACAATCTCACATACAGAACTGGAATCCGGAGTGTTGAAATAGAAATCTAGTTTCTTCTGGTTGAACTTGTGTTTTTTTTTTTTTTATTTGGAACTTTGCGAAACGGTAACGGATACACCACGCGTTTTGTTATCTCGTTTCAGGTACTCCAACGAGACATAGAGGCGCACGGGCGTATCGTCAGTTCGGTAGTCAAATTGGGTGACAAGATCTTCACGCAGCAACAGGAACATGGACAACAACAGGATCAGCAATCCGCTCAGCAGCCATTACGAATAGTGAGATCGTTGGAACGACGTTGGCATCTTCTGTATTTGCGCGCATTGGAATGGCAGTGTCACATTGAAACCCTCGCATCTCACATAAGAAATAAGGTATAAACACACGCGCTTGTCTCTTTATAATTGTTATATTTTCTCTAATTTTTCTTTTAAATGCTTTCTATGTTTGATGAGAGAGTGACCGACTGGATGATGTCAGAAAATAAAACGATGAACAAGCAACTATCTGATAGTGATTGCAATTGACTGTGAGACACTTGACAATTGACGACTATTAAAGAGTCGAGTAGTCGCAGCTACGCGATTACTCGATTCGAGATGCTCAGACAGAGAAAGAACGTTTTTTAATATTGTCCGGAGCGAAACCGTGAATTCTGTTTTTCGGATTATTTCTTCAAGTTAAGTCATTTCTTCTCATTAAATTTAACGGCGTACGCTCTAGTAAACAAGAGTTTGTGAAGTTTTTTTCATAATTAATATTGAAATAAACATTTTTTTTAACATGAACGATTTTTAAATTGTTATATTAAATTTATACGTAAATAATTGGATTTATTTTTCATGAAAAAAAAGCATTTATTTACAAATATAATGTATAATGATAACTCTTGATAATCAAAACAAAAAGAAACGTAGAAACGCGTAGGCGTCGCTGTACCCTTTCTATCTCTCTCGATCTTGTGTCTCTCCCTCACCTCGCAGTTCTATACCTGTTTAAACACGCAAGATCCTGTCGAGAAATTCTACGGGAGATCCCTCCTGTCTCAGGTACCTCTTTTCAAAGGCACGAGGCTCAGTATTTGGACAGTTTCTCGGCAAAGTTTGTGGTGGAGTTGTTTCTATCACTCCGGCGTAACCGCGGTTTTCCACGATCGATTCGAATCCCGCTGCGTGACACGGAGTCGCGCTGATAGCGAGCGATAAGTTTATTAATACAAGATAAGTTTTTGTACGCAACGACATACGTGCGGTTTAGACGATAATGTGAGTCACGGGGATACCGCGTCAATAATTGTTCAGGCAATCATAAAACCGCGACCACATTGCCGCCGCAGTAGGCGATTATTGAGTAAAAGGGATTCGACTGCTTGATGTTTCAGAACGCCGTGCCTTACAGCTGCAGCAGCGACAGCGACGAGGAACCAGTCACGAAACAACCTCGTCTCAGCCGCGGACGATCGCGCGGCTCCGGAACAGAATCGTCGGGACAGTCCGCTCGCTCGGCGCGAGCCGAACGTGCGAAGCGCGTTGTCGGCCGATCGAGATCCGAGTACCGCGATCATCCAGTTTCCAGGACTGACCCGTCCGACAGCGACGCCTCTTCTGAGAATCGATCCATCGACGAGGGATCGTATTTCGAGGTACGTAATTCGTCGGCCGACGGTCAATTATTGAGCATAAATCTGGGGTTTGGTATCGATTCAAACTGTGTCGACACAATCGAATCGTGACGTCCCGCAAACTTTTCATATTGCTTCGGATAATAAAATCCATTATTCGCGATTCGAAATTGCTCCCTATTATTGTCGGACTGCTATCGTGATCGCGTAACAAGCGGCGAACGGCGAATGTCGTTATAAACGAACGAGAGAAATATCATGAATTATGCGACCAATGAATCACGCAAGAATAACTGGAGTTATATATTTGTCTTGCGAACGTGATATGTGAGATAACTCGAGAAAGATAAGATTGATTCAATTCCAAATTTATCAGTATAAACAAAGTTTAAATATAAGTTGAAGTGAAGAAGAAAAAAAACAAAAAAAAAATAAAAAAAAAAGAAAACAAAGTACATCACCTTACAAGCTGTTGCAATCTCGTTTGACAAAGGATCGTGCGCAAAAAAAGTTTGCAGACATTCGCGGTTTCTGCAAAAAACAATGGGTTGAAGGCAGAAAATGTAGTTGTTCCACGAATCGGCAGCTTCTATTGTTCTCCATACTGCTGTCGCGAAACACGACTATTACGAGTCATTGACCCGGTTTTCGAACGCTGCGCGATTCATGCATAGAAATATTGGTGTTGTGCTCCCTGTGCGAGTCTCACAGACTCTCTTCTCTCGACGATGATGAATGAATTTTGTTTTTTAATCGAGGTATTATCGCGCGTTGTACGTTATTACGGGCAAAGGTTTTTTTTTCTGACGCTTAATTGACCTCAATACAAGACAACGCGTTTCTCGATCGAAGTGGGAAAATTGCATTTTTCTTGCAAAACTTGACAATTACATGAGTCATTTTAGCCTTAACAAAAGATAAGAGCGCAATAACTGCTACTTTACGTTGCGTAGGCTAGAGTAGAACGTGCATCCGAATGTGTTAAGTGGATCGTCCTGCATAGAGGAGGCTGCAAAAAACGAATCTCTTCTAAAACGAATCGGACACACGTGTACAGCGCGACCCCGACAAAAAATATCAATCAAAAAGCTTCGTAAAAAAAAAAAAAAAAAAAACTACGGTATTTTCATGTGCGTCGGGCGGAGCTGTGTTGCGAAAGACCTTCTTCTTCGAAAGTAGCTCCATTAAATTCACAGATACCGTTGTATATATTTCACTTCATATAACGTTTAACCTGTCGCGAACAAACTCCAAGAATCGACCTACTAATTGGACAGACTGGGTCTGTGAGACCCACGCGACTTTAAAATCTCCGCGAAAAATCAATTTTTTTAAATCAATGTCTTTGAATCAAAAGGTTAAACGATTCTGCGTCGAAAAAAAAAAACATTCTAGTAATTAAGAAAATATAAGCGTTAAAGAAATTTAATTTTACTAAAAACCGGTTCGAAATTTTTGAATGAGTTTCGAAGATCCATGTCTCTCTCCGCGAACGGTTAATATTCGAAGTTATGTTTTTTTTTTTTGTTTTTTTTTTTTTATAGTATACACAGCTTATCACCGTGTTTTATGCATAAAAAATGCAAATTGACAGAATCAAAAGTCAAAACCATCATGTGTGTCATTTTCTGCAAATAGCTTGTTCTCGATAATTATATGTACTTATCGCGCGGAAAGATTTTGATAAGAGAGATCAACTCGCGGAGAGAGTACGATATATACGCACAATACATATGCGACATCATGTTCATCAGTATGTTATGTCAAACGCTTTCTACGACGATATAGGATGAATTGTGTCAGTTCTGTGTGATGGACACAAAGTCCCACGAATCGGCGAAACGAGAACCTATCAGATCCTGTACATCTGACCTGGGCGATCGGGGGGAGGAGGGTGACGTCGAGGAAAGCGGAGTCAGCGACAACGAGCAAAACGACATGCCACCCACACCGGACACCGTGCCGATAACAACATCGACGGCGGCGATGCAGGAAACGTGCGACGAAATCGACGCGGCAGGCACCGTGCAAATCGAAAGTACAGAAAAATCGAACAACAGTCTTCGGACGAGCGAATTTGTCAAACGCTGTGGAACAACGGAAGAGGCTGCTTCGTTCAACACGTGAGTTTTTCTTTTTCTCGCAAATTTTTTACGTAATGACAATTGTAATTATTCGAAAAAAGTGTGAATTGTTTACGTCAATCTATGTTAATTATGTTCGCTCGAATACGTTTTCTCTTGGATTTTAACAAACTGCACGAAGTGCAAGTAAAAACTGTTCGATCATGTTTCGACGAATTGTTATTTTCTGATGTTTCAGATCCGACAGAAAATCGAAGAACTGCGCTACGTTTTACTTCAAGCATCTGGACACTGACTCCGAGGCGGATTGTTCCGGACAAGCAGTTCAAGAATCGTCAGTTCAGGAATCATTGAATACGATGGATGACTCCTCGGAGGAAGAGTGGACTTACACATCTTCTCTTCCAAATAACTCGCTCGTTACGGAGCAGCGAAAGACGAACGTATTGGTTCGTTTGGATTTCAACGAAAGTCCGCGCGTCGATTTATCAGAGAAAATGCACTTCTCGCGAGAAAAAAACGCGGATAACGAAAAAGAAACGGTCGCGGCGGAATGCAACCGCGATGTTCAGCAAAAGGACAGCGACGACGAAAATAAAGACAATAAATCTAGTATTCAGAAGTTAATTAAAGAAGTTGAGAATTTAATTGGCGAGGAGAGACACACAGTCTCGCGTACTTTTCCGCAGCTAGTGTTCGAAGAGAAAGATATAACGAATAATCATCGAGCCAAGTATGCGCGCGTAAAGGAATGGTTGAAGCTGAACGCGTCGAGAAGTCACGAGGACAGCAGGTCACAAGTAAGTTTAATTGACAGAGATCTAGAACATTCAGGCGAATCGACAATTTCCTCCAACTCGAGACTCCTCAAATATAATTAACACAAAGTAATATTTTTTAATTAATATTATAATTAACATTAAACAAGCTTTGTATTTATAAATATTTATTTTGCGTATTTTTAGACAATTCTTTTTTTACGTTTTTTACTTTTATCGTGTATCTTCATTTATTTCGCGTAAAAACCATTGTATTGGTGCGTGTATGTTACAGCCATTGGATAGCTGTGACGCCAGCGGTGAATATACAACGGAAGAATCCGATGGCGACAAACAATCGATAACATCGGACGATCTACAAAGCAGCGTAGCTACTTACCGTCGATTCGAAGGTGCTCTCGGATCTATATCGCAGTCACTCTCGCAAGAGATACTCGATTACGCTCAGCGAACACCGGTCAATGAGGTACCGCCCGAGGAAAATGCTCCAAAAGTTGTAATGCGCTCGAAACACAAGGCAAAAGGATCCAGACCGTGGAGTGTTTCTTGTATTTCTCAAATCGGAGACAAACCTAATTTAACTCAGATAAACGATCCCGTTCTACCATTTTCTATATCCGAGACTGCTCTTCATCAGTTGGTTACAATTCCACCAACCAAATCCGCATCTTTGGATGCCGCGTAAGTATATATTTTCTCTCTTTGATTGTTTTTACATTTTATTTCTAATGTTTAAATCATTCGATTTCGAACGATAATTATCATAGTTTTTTACACAGTTATTCTAAAACACAATTGATTATTATTGCGTTTACATTACAGAGGGTCACGGAAGTCATTTAATAATTCCACATCCACTTTATTAGAAGAGTCTCTCAATACGTGTCCCGATGATCGTGTAGTTAGAAATATTTCGTTCCGCAGAAAGAAAAATAGATTGCGCAAGAAGACTTTGGTAAGAAAGCTCGTATCTTGGATATTACAATATTTATGTAATAGCGTACGTATAATCAAATTAAAAAAAAAAAAAAAGAAAATATCATAAATTATTGAATCACGTATTAGGGTCGTAAGAGCGAATCTAGCTCGGAAGGCGCGCAAGCTAATCATTCGGCGGGAAGTGATGGCAGCTCGAATCAGCAGCGTTTGTCTCGTAAAATGAATCGCACAATTCATACAGTTGTGAAAGAAAACTGCCTTAGTCGCGCAACGACTCTTGTGAAATCCGAATCTTTTTCGGGTTGTACCGTCCATCAACAATTACACGTTGAAAGAGCGCTTACCAGTAATCCCACATCGCTCAGGCTACTTTGTTGCAAGTCAGTTGCGTCCACATCGGAGACGGAAGGAGAAGATCGTGATTGCACTCAAGGACATTTCGCTTACAATAATAACATATTGAGCACCGCGCTAACCAGCAAAGAACCGAGCAATCAACAGTTGAATATAGATAGTGACGTGGAAATGAACAGTCTTGGTAACAATTCGTTGTCGGAACAGGCTTGGGATAATTATCAGGTGATGCAAGAAATACACATTGAGCGTTTTTGTTTGATAATAAAAATGTATAAATAATATTTGTAGTTTTATATCGATTTATATTTATAAATTCACAGGAGAAATATATGAGTGAAGCTTACAGCGAGCCGTTAGATGTAGAGACGGCTCGACGATTGTTGGATTTTGGAGATGACTATCGAAACTTTCTCGACAGTCAGTCAGAATGCGCATCCAGTATAAGCGCAATTCCTGCTAGCTCGCCGCTGCCTAAGATTCGCAAGTATCATGTAGGTCCTACACTTTTATTCTTTCTTGATCAAGTGTCCGTATTTTTTCTATAGAAAAAGAAAACATGTATTAATAATTTGATGTACCCAATAATTTTTCAATTATATGTACATAATTGTGCCATATTCTTTATAAAAATGTTTATCAATACAAAATAAATATGTTTATGAAAAATATTACTACTTTAGATTATAGTCACATCAAATAAACTTTTCAAGCAGTATAGAGGTGTTTTATTTTCTCATGAAGATAAATATAAACGCTAGAGTTACGTAATATCTTAGTTGCATGCAACTTTTGAGATAAGATACGTCTCGAAAATGTACAACAAAATATTTGATTTGAAATAAATAACGTAACAAAATTGTCTTTATCTGTATAATGTACCGTGAATATTTGAATATATAAATATACATTTAATTAATTAAAATATATATATATACGGTACAAATTTTACAAAAACAATAACAAGCAATCTTATCAATAAAATAATATCTTAAGAATTAATCTTTTTTGATAAAATCTGCAGCTTCTATAAACGATATCTGTTTATTGTGTTTGTGTTATTTTAATTAAATGTTAAGAGAGCATATTATATGTTGTACAAGACCATTCTAACAAATTAATTATATTCTAGGAAATTGGCGATAGCTCGGACGACAGTGAAAGTGATGAAGAAGATTTACGAAAAATTGCAGAAAATTCGCAGTCACAGCTTATATTTGCTGAAAATGCTTTTGTAAGATCCAACGGCGCGATACTCCCAGAACTCGTACGTATTTTGTTACTAATGTTTGCTAGAGAACATCCTGTAGCATTCTGTCGCTTTTGGCGAATAATTTTTGCTTTATCACTTTTTCGCTTTATTCGTTATTACTGACAAATTGCTCGTGCATGTATAAATAGTACTAGATAAATGTATGTATGTGTATATGAACGTATATGCATAAAATATAAATTTTATTAATGTATATTTATGTTTATTTATGTCTAATTTATGTGCTTATGGATCTGCAAACTTCTTTTTTCGTAAGTTTTAATTATGTAAAATGTCAATTTAAAAACTCGAAATTTTATGATAAATAATTATGTTTTTCTATAATTTTATTTTGTTATAGTTTACAATAAGGTTTGCAGAATCATTTCCTTTTTTTCCTTAGTTTTTTCCTATAAACGCAAACTATATACGTATTACAATAATTTTATTTATTAATTGTTAATGCAAGTTTTTATATTTCTTTCACAACATGCTTCTCTTATTTGTGATTCTATAACATTAAACAATTAGATTAGTTTTGTGTAAATTATATAATACAATATTATAATACAATAAATAAATTAAATAAAAGCAGTTTTTATTTTATATTTAACTTAATTAGTTAATCAGTTAAGTTAGTTAATCAATTTACCTTTTCCTAATAGGCCGGAGTGGAGTCTAGGTGTAAAGAAAACTTAGAGTGTTTGCAGACCGTCCTGGAATCACAGAACGGATTTTCGCGAAATGAAAAATATTTCAAACAATTTCGCGGTGAGTACAGTCAAACAATTAGTTTTACATTGTTCTTTATCGCTTTTAACAGCAGTATCCTATTCTTTCTTGCTATTTGTTTCTGCGTAATGGAAATCGTCTTCCAAAAACAGTCTTTTCACAATAATGCTGCATGGTAAAATATGTACATAAACTCGACTTTCACGTTTTTATAAATAGATATAAAATTTGCGACTCCGCATTTGCTTTTATCTTTGTTATCACTATGATCATGTTTATATCTTTGATCCGACGTGTGATAGATAAAGACATCTTGGCACACGTGTGTTTTACCGTTGTATTTTATAAACTTACTAAAGAAAGCGTTCTCTTCTAAATAACGGTGCCAAAATGGTTTGTAATCTACTATGTCATTGCGAAACTGGCGTTCTATTTCAAACGATTTGAGCGTTTTAACATCTCCACTAAACTATTATTGATCTTTAGAAGAGCGTGAACGCATTTTAAAGATATAACTAATATTTTTATTTTTATGCATTTATATTTTTTATTATTAAAGTATGTTGGATATTTTTATTTACAACTTTTGGATACTCGTTGCATTTATGTTAAATTATAATCATTAGAAGCGAAAAATCCTTGAATTTTTGTCACGTAACTTACATCGAAATAATCTAATAAATTAATGGTTTTCTCACAAACTACTGTTGGCATTTAGTAGTATAAATTCGTAAATTGTGCCGAAAACTTCCTTCTGTATTGATAAATGCACATATAATTCAATTGTCTTACAGTGCCATGTATATATTTCCAGTAAAAATAAGCCTTGAATATATAACAATTGATTAAGATTCATACGTGCTTTATATTATATCTGCAAACCGAAAGAAGTGTTTAGCCATTTTTAACAAATCTGTGCTATCAAATGCCGGTTTTGAGATATGTGAAAACAAAAAAAAAAATAGTTTATTGCGATATACATTGCGTGACACAAATTCATGTAATTTTTAGAGAGCTTCTGACATTATAATTCAATATAACTTAAATAAGTAACAAAACAGCATTTTATGTAGAGCATAGAGCATGTGTTATAAAACTGAATTTTATATTTTTATTTTTTATTTTAACGCGCTCTGTGTGCAAATGTAATTATATTTGCTCAATATGTACATGCGGCGTTGTCTTGGCTTTTATTAATTTTTATTTTGCGATTTTGTACTTACTTGTTTTAAATAATAAACTGTTTTAAATAGGATTAAACTGTAGGAAGAAATATTTGTGAAAAATAAAATAAGAGCAATTGATATAGTAAAAAAAAAAAAAAAAAATTACACGATGTTTGAAGTATAATAAAAATGGTGTACTGTATTATCTGTCCTTTGTACACATATATATATTTGCAATATATCATCCGTCAAACTAATCGTACAAAACACACATTTATAATTAGAACATGCTGCGTAACAAAATCACGCGCGCACGCTTCTGTAGTATGATTTTTATTGGAGCGACGTTTAGAAACGTAGCAATTTACTTTCTAGCGACGAAAAGTTGGGACGGAGGCGCATCCGAGCGTAGGAGAAAGTGGAAAATGATAGTATCTATGTTCCTAATGATCAAACGGCGCGTCATAAATCGTCCCGCGGTATTGTCTATATATTGCAGGAACATCGACGTCGGGACTCGTAAACTCTTACTAACTAATTCTTCCGACTATCTCTCTTCCGCCTACGCCGCTAAACCGGTACATTATAGTTGTCAAGTCGGATTAACAAGAAATTTATTTTGATCGTAAATCTCAGCTACGTCTTTCTAATCGCATGTGCATGTAGGTGCGCGTAGGTGGATACGCACGAACGTATACGCGTGCTGTGTCCGAGAATCGCGCCTTATATGAATTAACAGCCGTTCGTTCTATCGATCGAAGATGTAGAAACCAAAAGGCAAACGGACCCTCGGCACGCTACCACGCGAAGTTGGCGCGAGAAGAGCGACGCACTCATTGGTCCGTACATTCGTACCTACATTCGGACGTGTCACGTGATGCGCGCGGTGCTCCCGCCCGCGTTCGTCGCAGTATTCCGAAGCGCTTGAACGTCATCGGACGTTGTTCGTAGTATTGCGTTGTACATTCGCGATTCCTTAAAAGTGACACCGCGCGTCGATCCAGACGATCGACATATCCGTCTGTAAGCCGCAACTTTTTCATCTCGACGCGCTCGCGACGATTCGCTTCGATGCTCATTCGAAGGGAGAAGGCCAATTCGAACGGTTTGCGTACGTATGCTTTTCGATTGTTTCATTATTATTACTGACACGCAGATATTATTGTGTGTGTCATATTAATCGCGACAAGCTTTTATTATTTCATTTATTTCGGCGTGATCAGTATACGTAATATTCTATTTGTGATACACATCGTAACACGTTTTCTTTTCGAGTGATCGACATGTTCCTTTCAAATATGGCCGCCATATTTGTCTATACTATAATTTGTTATCTCTTTCGATGACTTTTGTATGTAAATTTAGTGTCTGATATTGATTATTTAATCGTTGAAGAAATTTTATATAAGAGTCTTATATAAGAGAATTTTTATTATATAGAATTTATTACGTATCGGCTACATATAGTAATTTCATTAAACGTGTGGTTGTAAACAGCTCGCTTCGTAAGTGACGTAAAGGATAAAACCGACGCTGATGCCAGCGCGATTAAGCGATAAAAGTTTCGTTTCTGGTTCGAAATAATAAATATACGTGGAAAACAAGTTTAGCCAGAAAGAAAGATTAGTTATTATATGGCCAGCAAAAAACCTTACCAGGACTGAAGTGAATTTTTTTTTTTTGTTTTGCCGAAATATTCTGTTGATAAAACAAACAACTCAGTAGGCGTAGCAAGTTCTTCCCACTGGCCATGTAATAAGCAAAACTTTTCTTTCCGTGTACACGCAATAAATTACTCATTTCTCTGTGCAATGTGCGGAAGAAATAAAAGATCGGAATATTTAAGCAGATAAAATTAATTATAAATTAAAAAATTGTTATCTTTGAAAAAATTGATGCATATTTCAAATACGCTCTTGATTCTGCGGTCGTGTTTTTTTTTTTTCAAACTTAACACTTTACGTCGTGCGTTAAAAGACGGGACAGAAATATATAAACGTATTTTCTTGTTTACGGAAACTGCGGAAATGTTGACAAACGTAGTTACCTGCCATCTCCGATCATCTTTTCTCTGGAGATTTCGCCGCGTTCGAAATTCCGCGGCTGCGCGATGACGCGTGCCCGTGATTGTCGCGCCACTTCTCTGGAAATAAAATTGCGATTTGATTTCGGAAAAGTTACCGCTTGCCGCGAAACGTTTTTCAAACACGCTCGACATCTTGCAAACAACATCAAGTTGCGAGAGCCTTGGACAAAAATATCCACGCACATGTAACGTATGTGCATACGTCCTACGCGAAACTTTTATCGATAGCAACCTCATTATACAGTCTCCCGTGTTGTTGGATAGAAAAATCAAACAATCTACTTGAATTTAAATTTACAATTTATTCGTGAACACCTCATAATCCTGTGCGCTATCCGTATCGTTTTTTTTTTCTTTTTTACAAACGACATGTTACGCCGTTGAAAAGCAGAGGCGAACTGCATTCAATGCCAATTTACGCTCTGGCAATCGTATGCAACGAGGCATACGATCACACGGTACATTCCGCAATGTGTACATGTATATGCGCATATATACATATGTATATATATAAAGTATGTGAGCATCGCGTATATGAGCTTTTACTACACGCGCTATTACGCCGTGTTGTCGTACACGGTTCGTCGTTTCCTGTAGGTCAGAAACACGATACTTTCTATTTGTCAAATTTTTTTTTCCTTTTCTTCTTCTCTCTCCCCACGTCATATTCCCCGTGTTTTTCCCGCGAATTTTTCTGTTTGTGTCTAACGCGAGGTTTCGCGACTTTTTACAACGACGTTTTACATCCGAGCGGTTCGACATTAATTCGATACGGTTTTTGCGCGATATCGTATTTATACCATTCGAGTCGCGCATTGACTGTGCGGTTTCGGTCTGGAAAAAGTTGCCGCTACAAAAGAAAGTGGCGAACAGAAAAGAGGTCACGGAAGCCGTACCAGTTCAGACACAGGTCCCTTGACCTTTGAGGATTTTTTTTCGTGCAGTCGTTTTACATAACCGGCCGATGTGTATCATAAAAACACCGTTGCTCGCTAACAGTATATATAGCGACTCGACGAGATGCCCGGAAGCGAAAAACATATAGGAAAGTAATTGCCGGTTTCCTTTCTTTCGTATGTGCGTACTTCCTTGAAAAGCGCGCATTGGAGAAAAAAAAAAGAAAAGGAAATTGTTGATTGCCCCAGTGCGCGCGTTGAACATCACAAAAACGACACATATTAAATTATTAGCGTGTAATGATATATGGGAGGGAAATACAACTCCGCGTGCGCCAGGCTACTACTTGATTATCTGTTTTTTTTTTTCACATTAGAGAACTCTGCCTCCGTTTCTTCTTACACGAAGTAAACAGGAAGCTAATTGTAAAACGTATTAATTCTATTTTTTAAGTATCATATAAGTTTTTTTAATTAATTTGTAAGAAAATGTAAACACACATATACTTGGAAGAATTTAATGTTCGGAGCTTTATTTTCTTTGTTTGTTTAAGAAAACTAATTAGATAATATCAAATAATATCAAAAATAATATTATTATAAGATATTGACTTTTTTGTGTGTGTGCAGATTACATATAAATGTTAATACTAAATATGTTGCATAATTTATTTAGGTATGATTGAGAGGTGGGAGATCTTGGCGTCGCGGGTGGAGCAGGCACAAATGGCCAACGCTCTTCATCGCGAACTGGCGGCGATGCGAACGGAATTCAAGGCAATGCACGATCGACTTTTCGATTGCGAAATCATCCTGGAGCAGCCGCATGTGCTCAACGATCGCATCAATAGGATTACTGTAAGTAACTTTTGACGTGTTAAGCACGTGCGTCATATGGTTCACGTTGCTTGTACAATCATTTCTAACAAGTACATTATACTTACACCAATGCTTGTAAATTGATTAAATTTATTGTTACGTGAAAAATTATACACGAGCGATTTCAATAAGAATGTGCGTTTTGTGAATTTCATACATTGATGATCGTTCTGAAAAAAATTTATATGCGATAAAAATTGAAATTCGCTGTATTCTCTTAGGATGGTATTATAGATTAACTTTTATCAACGACAAACAAATTGGAGACGAGCAGATACAATACTCTGTCGGTAAATATACCGATAGAGACGCATCTTCTTTCGCTATAAGAGAGATCTGCCTTGACTCGTGTGATATAACAGAGATGTACCTTTCACCTCTTTCATTCTATGTGAAAAATCAAATATGAGAAGTTACATTATCTGTTTGAACACTTACATATAAATCTATATAATTACAAATTACTGTCGACGTAATAATAATTTAATCAAAACTACAGTTTTATCAAACGCGCGCGTATATACACAAGAGGAAAGATATTTATACGTACACATATATGTTCTATCGCTCGCGCAGTAACACATTGATTAAAATTCTTCGCAAAATCGTCGCATTATTAGAAAGATCGATCTTATCGTTAATAAATGTTGTTGTATAAACTTATCAACGAGCAAATTCATGTTTGTGATTCTCCAATGCGCATTGTTCGAAAAATATTGAGTTCCGAAAACATTCGTCTCAAGATACGTCGAGCCCCCGACGAATTTCCGCAAGTCCTTTGGAAATCGAATCGCAATGAGAAGACGCGTTATTGGAAATGTCTTTGGTACGGCAGACAAGGCAGAAAAGTCAGAAGCTCGGATAGAGAGAAAGCTCGTGCGGAGGAGTCGTCGCGGCCGGGGTGGAGAAACGAAATGAAAGCGGGCGAAGAGAAGGTGAACCCGGGAATGAGGGTGAGCGAAGGTGGTTAGGAGGGAGATAGAGAAGGAGAGTAGGCGAGAGCAGTCAGGAACCAAGTAGAGAGGCAGAGGTAGTGGCGTAAAAGCGTAGTCGTGTCGCACGTACGCTCGTCTGACGGCGACGTGCTCGGCATCGCAACTCGCGACGCGGAGAGAGCGAACGCCGGCGAACCTAGCCAGCCCCCTTCGGTGGTGAGTTCCACCCCCGAGAGTCATCCCCCCCGAACCCTCTCGTGCACATCTAGCCCTACCGTGGAGCCTCTGTGGAAAGCAGCGCCTCTTCCCTCCTCGGCGCGGCCCCGCAATATCCTCCGCGCGCTTCCCTCCCTTGCCCGGCCTCATTGCGAAGACCAAACACATGCTCCCTATCTATCATCAAGATGTATTAGCGTCCAACATTCGCTGGGTGAACTCGTCGCTCTGCTGCATTATGCACGAGACGTGTAGCTCGCGCCGATCCCGGTCCGAACGAAGGCCGTGCTCTTGTTTTACATGTTTCGTTTACATCCCGTGCCTGCCGCGGTCCAAACCCGATAACGCGGTCGGTCGTACTAGATCCCCCCTCCGTTCGCACGGACTCGGGAATACGATTTCTAGACAGAAATTTGTCATCTAGCATATGAGTAGTCACCCCAACAAATAAAAAAGAAAAAATCTGTGAAATATACATTACATATATACATTAATATCGACAATTCGCTGACAATGAAAAATACGGGAGTAAACCAGTGCAATTGCGCCGGAGGAAGCTGTCAACAAGCTGATTACGTATCGGGGATGATTGTCCGACGCGCACGTGTAGAGTTCGCGATTGGGATGCAGGCCGCGCACCGAAAAGCGCAACGGCACGGGCAAATGCAGACTGACGCGCGTGAGACAGAATTGAACGTTTCGTTATGTATTATGCATCGCTAAGCAGGATCGCAATTGGGTCTACGCGTTCATCCCCGCGGGCACGTACGTTCGCGCGTGGGACGCCGAACGTACAGAGCGATTCGACGAATCGCGTCACCTGCTGATTATGTTATTGCGTAATATCGAACAAACATACCAATACTGCTTGCTCGATCGAGTTTTGCACATTATTGGCAAAACCGAGATTTTAATACGACATCTTAATTTAAAATCTTAGGAAAGATAGAGAATTTATTGAAACTTTGCGCGATGAGAATTTGATGTGATTGTCGCATATATTTTAAATGCTTCGTGGAAATAAATATATATAATTTTCTTTTCATCCTTGAGCGAGAATCTCCGAATCTTTACGTTCTCTATCGCGAGAGAAAACGCGCTAGAACGCCCGGTACCTCCATTGGGACTGTGGCACAATTAAAATACTGGCAGTGGATCTCCGTTCCACTTAGTGCCGCGGAATTACGAGACGTAAAAAGCTAATTCTCTACTTTCACGGGGTACGTGCTCGGTGGGGTGGCGCGGCGGCCTCATAGACATGCAGGTCCCGAACGCGCTGCGACCGCTCTGTATACCGAATTCGAATCAATTGATTGGCTGTTGATTGGAAATTGAATTAGATCGGAATGTGCGTGTCTGCGCGAGGGCACAGCAAGGGTGCTCTCCGAGTAACGGGGGAAGGGGGGAGGGAGAGGGTTTCGGTCGCTGGTTATGCGTCGTTGATGCTGATGGCGGCGGTGAGAGAGGCACAGCAGCGCAGGGGCGGTTGCGAAAAGAGGGGAGAAGAGCGGAGCGGTCGCTTCTGCCTTTGCTATGCGTCCGGAATATCAATGACAACCACTTTTCGCCGGACACTGGAGCAAATCCACGCCGCGCACTTCGCGAAACCACCCGGGCATTGGGGTCGCTCTCCTTTTCATCGCGCGATTTGCTCCCCCTCCTCTTTCTCTTCATCTCCGACTGTGACGGCACAAACGAAAACCGGCTAACTGCAACCGCGGGGGTGGTCACAGGTTTTGATTTAAATTCTTCACTTTCGAGAAGAGTGATTTCGATGCGCCGCCGCGCCACCGATCGGAAGTGTTGATTCGCGACGAGGTTTATAATTTTTCCGCGCCGCTGTACGTAAAAATAACGCGAACGGACGTTTATCAGCAACGGCATAGCTAAACATAAGGGTTGTGGAAACACGCGGTATACGATGCAGTAACCACGTCACGTTGTCACATCCCCGTCTCGTCCTACCGCGGGACGCTCTCCCGACGAGGACCGCATAAATAAAGCCTGGGTTTACGACGGCGACATAGGGCGTAAGAGAACGAAAACGAGAGCCCGTTCCTCTTCTTCTTGTTCCATTTCTCTCGCTCATCGCGTGACGAGCGGGAGATCTCAGGGGTAGCTCGTAAAGCTCGTCCTTGCGGTCATCTCGCGCGTCTTATATCCCCCCCCGGTCTCGCTTACCGTTCTCTTGAAGAGTAATTTCCTTCTTCTCGAATCGGTGGAGTTCGCCATCGTCGCGTTGTCTCTTGGTCGATTTTTCGTCTATTATGCACGAAACGCTGAACTCCTTTTATATCTTTCCAATATACTCGCGGAATAGAAACTCTAAAGCGCGAAACAAAAAAGATACAGATTGAATGTTTGTAATTCTTTCAAAGAATCTTCGTGACTGAAATAGATTTCTTTTTAAACTGCGGTTTAATTTTAGCGCGTTCCGAAAGTGAGAGGATGGGAATTCGACGTGTGTTTATCGATCGACATACACATGAAGGAAAGTTTCTCGATGTTATATGGTGGATACGCGATAAAACTTACTTAGACTCCACGTGTATCCGTGCTTAGCCGGATTCTTAGTCTGTGGCCACTTTATACATCACGTTCACCCTCGAGCGACCCTTGCGCGTTTGCCCTTGCACCGCGAGCAATTCGTTTGAGTTAGGCGAACAAGCCAGCTACTAAAAATGCATATTTTATGTTTGCAGGTCGAGTTGGCTGTTCTGAAGGACCGCAAGGCGGCGATGCTCGCGCTGAACGTTTCTGCGCATCGACTGATCACCGATCTCGGTTCATCCGCGCCGTTAATTTGCACAGCCCTCAAGGATGGCGTTGCGGACCTTTACAGGATATGGGACGAAACCTTCCAGAAGTGAGTGATCATTTATACTGTTTTTTTTTTTAATTAGTAACAATGTTAATAAGTTGATGTCAATAAGTTGATGTCAATTATGTAAGTTTATTTCTGGATTTTTGATGGAAAAAAAGAGAAAAGTAGAAGATACGTAAATTTGTTTTCTTCTACATCGATACACGTATAAACCTTTTTTTTCGTATTCTATATAAAAAAAGTCATTTGGAGAAGTGCGCGTTTTGAAACCGAATGTATCGCATCTACTGTTGCCTCTTTTCCGCGTTGCCGATTGGTTGGTTGGTTGATCGAGTCGAATCGAATCGGTAAGATCGAGAGAGTAAATAATGAAAAGCGATTTTAAGACAGTTCGTGTATGTAGAAAAAATTAAAAACTTAACTAAAGTAAAGTCACGTAACAAGAAAGAGTAGAAAAACAACACGTGAAAATAACGTGACTGTAATTTATATTATATATAACATTAAATAATACATATTATACATATAATTTATTATATATTTATAATATTATACTTTATATTGTATTATATACATACTACAGTAATGTCACTGATCTCCGCCGCGCGACCTTGGCGGGGTCACTGACCGCGGCGGGGTCAATGACCTCGGTCGTGCGACTGCGGTGGAGTCACTGACCTCGGCCGCGCAACCGCGGCGGTGTTACTGACTTCGGTCACGTGACTACGGTATATATATATATATATACATATATGCGTATGTGTGTGTATTATATATAGATATAGAATATTACACATAATATATATAATATTCTCTTTTTTACCCTTTTCCCTGTCACGTGTTGTTTTTCCACTTCTCTCTCTCTCTCTCTCACTATTTTTTGAGTTTGATTTTCATGCGTTATTTCTGTCATTTCTCATATGTGTATTATATATATATGGTTTATAAGACGTATATACTATCTGTCATCGCGATGTTGAGGTTGTGTTCACTGACAATATGTTAAATAAAAATAACAATAGCGTGCGCGTAGCGCTAGTATTGTTAAAAGTTAAGTCAGAATCACCGTATGATTGTTAATTTGATGCGATGTAAATTTGAGAAAAATTGCGTTGCTCCGTATCATGAGAAACAGTTTGATAGTTTCCTTAATTACTTTGGACAATATATCTTGAACGTGGGGCTCAACGGTATATCCCATACAGAATAGTTGGTGCATCATCGACTGGCCGTTCGCTGGCCGACGTGTGACGTTACGCAAATATTTTGAGAGGTAATGAAGCCACCAAAGCAAACAGCGGAAACCGAGAGCGGCATAGGTACCGCCAGTAAGGGCTCTCCTCCTCGTTGGGATTTTGACCCGTGTCGCAGGATTACTAGCTTTAACAGAGATCGCGTTTAATCACGGACCTTTTCCAAGTGACAGCTCCGACAGAAAGACGACCTATCGAAATTCGAAAAAAGGGTCAACGCGCATTATTCGGTCTTTTGTGCAATTTTCTGTGCGCTGCAACTTAATCGATATTTTATATAAAAATATAATGGAAATATTGGAAAAGACGAAGAACACATGAATCTTCTCTCTTATGAATATTTTTCCATCAAAAAATAATTTTGATTTATATAAATTAAGAATGTAAAATATATATTTGTCGTTGACGCTAAATTTACGACTAAAAATATTTGAAAAAAAAAAGAAACACTTCAAGTTACTGACAGACTACAATTATTTAAGATCAATCTGATTTTTATTTCGAAAAATGATGTGAACACTTATTCTTCGGGTAAAGAAAAGACAAATAGTTAGCGCGATCATTACAATCCCCTTTTAATTTCCATACGAGCATTCGATTCCCCTTTTTGATAGGGGTTTAGACCATTCAAAAGGGTTTACCACTGACCCATTGGGGTTTGCGGAGGTCAATCCTATCCCTTTGATTTTGGTATGCCGTACACTTCTATTTTTTTGCGGGAAATGAAAGAAGTTAAAACGAACTTTTTGACGAATCCTCGAAAAAAATAGTTAACGAACTTTTCGCGAACAATTAATCGAGAATTTATTTCTAAACTTATATAACATATGTTTATTATCAACGTTTAAAATCGTATCAACTGTCTTCGTCTTTCTGACGAATACGCCAATGCGGAAAAGGGACATAACCAGTCTTCTTCGATTCATTCGTATGTTAGCTGGGGACGTTCAGATTGACCTGGAATAAAGTGTTTTTATTTGCCGATAGTGCCAGAGGGAGGGACTACTAATAATTCGACGTCTTAATGTTTGCACAACGGCTTTACCCTCTTTCCGTTTTTTATTGTATTGACTCGCATGATTTTTCTACTCAAATTTGCCACGCGTTTTTTATATTCACCCTTTCGAGAAATAATGAATAATTCATTCGAAACATGCAAACAAAACAGATAGAATTCATAAAATTTATATATTTCATATTATTATCATTTATTCATTTGATATCTTTTGTGACAATAACACACATTTCGTTCCGAAAGCTATTTATACGTGTAACATGATTTATTGCAGGAAAATAATTTATTAAATATAACATTTCTGAAAAAAAAAGATAATAGAGAAACTCTATGTTAAAAATATCATCGACTCCGGAACACATAGTTAATATATAAATGATAAATTTTTTCTTTTGAATCAACGCGCGGTTTTGTCTCTCCTAACTGATAATATAAAGAGTGCGTTTTTTTACGCTTTTTTTTCAGGGGTAATCAGCAGTTGTCAGCCTTACAAGATGTGCAGCAATTCGGTGCACGCTTAGCCGAACTCCATTCTGCTCTACAATGGGACAAGAATACTTTAGCACTTTTGGAGGCAGCGCTGCAAGCGGGCGCCACCTCGGAGGTTGCCTCTTCCGTTCGTCACGTCGCCCGATTGCTGTCCGAAAGACAAGACGTTAATTGTCAGGTAGTGTTTTTTAAATTTAAATTCACTCTTTTCTCCGCGGAGTTTCCATATTCACATTAATAAATAGCGTACAACGCGCACAAACTTAAGATAACGAATTCATCGTTTTTTTTTTTTTTTTTTTTTTTTTTTTTTTTTTTTTTTTTTTTTTATTAAATTATTTATATTTTTTTACGATGTTTTTTAACTCGAAGAATCTCTAATGTCGGTAACCTGCACGAAATCTTTTTCAAATCGTTCGTCAGACACCCCCAATGCATCCTTGATTTTCAATCGGTTAGATGGCTTGTTAGCAATTATTCAACGCTGGTGGATGGGGTAACGGTTCCCAGAGGTATCACTTGTGTGCATAAAACCATTTCCCCGTATAGATTGGGAGAGTCGCGGGTCCCGAGGATGTAACTCACCTAAAGGAAAGCGAGATTATAATGCGGGGATTGTATATCCCGCATTTTCGATACGTCACGCTAAATCGGTTTGCAAATTGCGTTTCTCAGATTGCGCGCCACAGATTTGCCAGATATATCCTATCGACCTTTTCTTTTTTCGAGATTAGCGATTATATCGCCACACTCGACAATTAATGAAGAGATACAGATCTTTTGTTTAGATATTTGCCGTTTTAACTTGTTAGTTATTTTGTCTTCGATCTTAAAGTCGCAAAGTTAACACGAGTCGCGCACAATAGCGGAAAATAAAAACTTTGTAGCAAAAAGCAATTAAAAAAAAAAAAAAAAAGGTAGAAAGTATCGAAAAAATTACATATATAAACAAGAATTTATACACGTACGCCACATATGGCGCACGTCAGGAGATAAATCTTCGACTAGCCTGAACACACTCGCTTCTTGAAGGAGGAGAGAAAAGGAGAGACGGGGGGGAGCGGGCCGCAGGTCGGAGGGGTACGTTTGACAGATGATACTTGTCGATATCGCGTCTCCGTTAAACGCCATCACATCCCCTATTTCCACCATATCCGTCTTTAATTTGCATATAAAGTAAATCTCTTGGCAAGACCGTTTTACGTCGGGTTCTTTGCTTTATGGACGTAAGGAAAGCAGTTGAAGGTGCAACGCGCGCGCGAGTGGCAGAACCCGCGCGCAAACCCACGATTTTCGATCGGCCGGCTCATTTAACTTGTCGGAAAGACGCATTGCGATCGCCGACATCGGAGAAACTCGCGTATTTTATAGAGAAATGTAAAAGTTAGGCTCGCACACTCTCACGTGACGCGAAATGTTTTAATAACAAGCATTGTTCGAATAATTCGATGTGTGACGTTTTAAAATTACGAGTGTTAATTAAAATAATTTATCACATGAGATATATGACGATCGAAAATAATTGACAATTTACATTTGCAATTAATTGATATACATTGATATTAATTGATATATCAATTGTTTGATACACGTGTCGCTTGTGTTGTTTACAAGACGCTCTACATATTACAACGTATTCCATCTTGTTGAAGAGCTTTTCGAGATCTTGTACTCGACTTGGTCTGGCGATATGCCGCGTATCGGTTGTATGAGCTCCGTAACACAATTTCCAATTGTCCCGGTGCTCATTTCGCCTGTCAAGAAGACGTACGACTCGCGACACAATACTCTCTCTCCAATAATAGGAGCTTTTCCTTTCGTCCCGTTTTTTCTTTCCGCGTGTATCCGCGTCTATATTTTAACGTATTCAAACTCCCGTCAAGACGGTATAATCCGAAAAGTTCTTAGTCTTGCCGATCTACAGCACTCGGGGGAATAATTTCATGCACTTGACATTACGCTTCTCCTTTTTCCGCTCCCCCCTTCTTCCTTTCTCTTTTTTTCCGTCTTCCCCTCGCGTTCGTTTCTTTCTTTCTTTCTTTCTCTCTCTCTCTCTCTCTCTCTCGACTTTACCTCGCTTCTACAGTCACCTCCATTTCAGAGAGTCAAAGAAGAGGGAAGACCACGATAAAGCACTCGACATTACAGTCTCTTTCTTTTCTCGTAACACTGCAATTCTTTATATTCTTGTGTTTTTATCTCGGAGACGGCGACGACGATGTTTATGAATAAAATTATGAAGACAGTTTGTAACCTTACAATATATTTTAGCACACGTGCGCAAACGCGTTGTGCGTACGTGTGTGGATAACCCCCCCGTTCGAAAAATGTACAAACATGTATGACATTGCTTCAAATTGCAACGATCGATCGAAAGTTGCGCGCGACGAAGTTCCGCGACTGACGAACGTGCTCGTTGTGTTTTCCGAGGCGCAAAAAATCCATAAGTTTTGATAGGTAGTAAATAAAATATTAGCCGATTGTATATATATATATATATATATACGGGTTGTGCTGCTTCTGCTGCTGGTGTAGGAGATAAGTTTCGGCGCCGGGTTACAGCGAGTCCGAGTCGCTATCGAGGGTGTTGGCCATCTCAGAGCCAGCGGCTCCCCAGGGAACTCCGATCGTTAATCGCCCGAACGATTCCCTTTCGCGTCACGTACGGGAATGGCCCGTGGAATCAGCGTAAAAATACAAATTTAATATCAAGCGTGGGTATAGAGCAAGGCTGTCTGGTCCGCTTGTAGTCCGTGTCGCCTCGAAAATTCTGTTTTGCTACGCGACCAGCGAACAACTTCATCAATTGCGCGTTCGAGCTTTTCTCTCTCTCTCTCTTTTTCTATCTCTCTTTCTCTTTCGCACTAATACGTGTAAAATAATTATTTTAGAGGCTAAAGAAAAAAATAGACATATATAAACAAACTTCCAAGAAGAGTAGATTCGATAGAATTTAATTTCGAATGCTTGAATTTTAATATGTCAAATAATTTCACAGAACATTTTCTCTTCGCTTTCATTTTTTTTTTTTTTTTTCTTACCGTTCTCGGAGTCTAGATAGGATTTTTGCGTTGTCAGATAAGCGACTCGATTATTTCGGCTCTGTTATTTTTTGTGAGTTCTTTCGCGATACAAGCAGATATTTCACGGTTGTATCGCGCGCTGTGTGTGTGTGTGTGTGTGTAACTTCGTTACATAATATACGTGTCTCGGGTGTACCGGAAATAAGAAGTTCCTCGCAGTTTTCTTTCGCGCGATTGGCCCTTCGGACCGGCGTGGATTCCGTCTCGACTCACTTCGTACCTACTATCCGTTATACCGGGAGAGAGAGTATACCGACTTATATATAGGTTAGCTTGAAGGTTGCTACTTGGTATGCGGATCGCGCTTTTCATTACCGGAGGCTCGTTCCCTCCGTCTCCACCGTTGCAAACAGCCTAAACCTACCCTTTCTTCCACGCAGCAGCCACCCTTCCTCTATCTCTCTCTCTCTCTATCTATCTATCTCTCTATCTCTCTCTCTATCTATCTATCTATCTATCTATCTATCTATCTCTCTCTCTCTGACTGTCTGTCTACCACTCGACCGCTACCAATGGCACCCTCGCCAGTATTCGCGGCATGCTGTCGCGCTTCCATAGTGCAAACGTGTATCTGATCCGAGACGTTTTTTTTTTTTTTTTTTTTTTTTCGTGAAAATATGTATTGATTTATTTCTTCTTTCGCGAGTACGCGAGTCGCATTGATGAAAAAAAAAAAAATCCGTAACAGTTAAAATCGTATGCAAATCTTTGGAAACGTTGACGTATCGCGGGGCGATCAATTTAACGACGAACATCCCTGCCTTATTCTCGCTTTTTCACCTCACACCCTCGTCTTTTCGACTCTTTCCCCCTTCCTCACATTCTTGATATAATCGTCTTATACGCTTTTCGATGCCCTCCGGTGATGCGCGAGAGTGGATTATACAATATTCGATAGCGTTGTCCTCTCGGTTGTATATCAGCACTTATCGCGAATCTCGCGATCCGCGCGTCTTCGCGTCTCTCGCTGTAGATTTCCCCCAGATTTTCTTTCTCCAACCAATCTTATCGCGATCGATAGCTCGAGTTTTGCACACGGCGACTCTCAACAATTGCTCTTGTTGCGAATAAACAATTGATAATTGATTTTTATCGTGCAATTCTGTTTCGTCTGTCTGGGCGACAGATAATTATTGATCTTCACAGGGGGGTGTTAATTTTTGTGCTTCACAGAATGAGACAGTGTTGAATGACGCGACGACGGAGGAGATGTCCGGTGTGAAGTTCGCCGGCACGTCCGTGAGCAATCTCACTCAGGAAGGAGGATCTCTATCCGATAGCGGGATCTCTGATAGCGGAAGCGAGAAAGAATTGAGCGAGCGCGAGCGTAAATTAGCTAGTCTACGGCGATTAACGCGCAGCTTGGAGACCCACCTGGCGCCGGGCAGCAAGGCTCTGACCGAGCTCTGGAAAAGAATCGAGGACGCCGAGAGCGAGCTGCGCGATTTGCAGAAGAAATGCAGAGAGCTCATCGTGCGCACCGCGGCGAGCGTGGACGCGCGTGCCGCCAAACGAACCGCCAGCCAAGTTCATTATTCCGCCGAGTGAGTACTTGTCATGATTTTTATCGATTTTCGCAGGAAATTACAGGAATTTCAATGTTTCGCGTAATAATGTTTAGTTTGATTTTTATACAAACACGTAAAAAACTGCCTGAGCGGATCCTGGCTTGAAGTTTTGAGATCAAATATTTATTTATCGAATAATAATATATTTCGCGCGATAATACCTGTCCGTATAAGAGAACAGTATAATCGAGTCAAGTGCCGTCGAACCAGATAAATAAGCGAATGTTCGTCAAATTTGTCGAGTTATTTGAGAATGAGTCTTCGTCAGACGTTTAAGTACAGTCTTCTTCACTCACATTCCATTTGCATAACGTCGAGATGGGAAGTAAAGAATGAAGGCGACTATTTAGATGTGGGGTCGTTGGTCTGTAACGCTGGGCATTAGGCGGCTACTCTCATTTGAATATAAGAACCTCGCCTGAACAGAGACGACGACCGCGTCGTTTGTGAGATGGTGCAGATGTTTAATTTCTAAGTAGTAAAAATTCTAATCGCGACAAAAAAACACGACGGCGTTAATAAATAAAAAATTAGATTATCCCGTTTCTTTCTAATAATTTATCGTATCGATAAATTTGTTTACGAAACGAAATCTCGGCACAATCTCGTTGATTGAACGCGCGCGGTTTATTTTCATCTATTCTCTTTATTTGCGACAAATGCGATCTCCCGGATCGTTGTTCGCAATTACTCGCGGTTCCAATTATCACCGCGTTGTATCTTATTTAACTTTGTTTTAAGGATGTTTTTATAGCTACGTTCAATCACCGCTCGGTGGCGGCGATAATAGGTTTAGTTTTTCGCGAGCGCGAAGCATCTGCCATACCGAGTCGTAAAAAAGAGATATAAAAACCCAGTGCCATTTTCCTCGATCGACGGTCTCTCATTTCGTCCGCGTTTTCTTTTTTCCTTTTTTCTCGCGTCATCTTCTTTCACGTCGTAAATCTTCGGTTTTAAATTTCAACGACAATCGAACGTTCTAAGCCTTTTCTTGCACATTAAATTATGGAAATAGAGCGGATACTCTCTACGAGAACGAAAAAGTTAAATAATCGCGCGATATTACGTATTGCTAATCGAGAAGAGTAGAGAGTACACACACAGCGCTAAAGCTATATATTGCAAAGCCAAATCTCGCCCAAGTTTCAAGTTACGTGCGTGCACTTCCAAATTGATTTCCCGACGAACTTTGCTATTACTGGTTTACTTGTATTATCGCGACCCGCGGGACGACATAAATTAATTTTCGCGCTGTCGCAAACTCGTTCAAGTTTCTCCTCTTCTAAACGGTCGAGTGCGTTGCCGTGTTTAGCAAGTTAAAAGGAATTGTATTAAACAAAATAAGATTCGTATCAAAAAACTAACGAACATGAATGCCGAATGAAGAGTGCGATTTGAAAACAAGATGATCACACAAGAAAATTAGTCGGAAAAAACAGCAAGAAATTCAGCAACGATCGCGCAAGATTGAAAACTCGAATTACGTTAATTGCGCAAAGCATTTTGCGACGTCGAGCGCAGCAAACTTATGTGCAAACGCGACAGTTTCGATTCACCAAACTATGTTTTGTTTTTTTTTGCTTTCTTCTTTTCTAGCAAGCGCAAAAAACCATTCAATGGAGATGCGTCGAGATGCGACGAATCCGTGCCAACCGCGAAGAGCAACGCCGGCGTCGCTAAGGGCGACAGCGAGCCAGTCTCTTCTCAGAGCTGGATCTGGCGAATTCTCAAAGTGGCACTGCCGTTCCAGCTTGCCGTGCTCGCCCTTTTCTGCGCCGCTTGTCTCTTGGAGCCGCAGTGTTGCGAGAACGCGAACATGCTCAATCTGTCGTTCACACCGCAACTGCGCTACGTTAGGGGACCACCGCCCGTGTAAGCGATGCGACACGGCAGGTATATGCGAATTGAAAAAAAAAAACAAAAAAACAAAAAAAAAAACAAAAAATCGACGCCAAGAATCAGTAGTTTTCTTGGCGAAAATGGCGCAACACGTCGATGTGTCGCCAGTAATGAGCGATTGCAAGCTCGTTGTGCGCAAGCGCATATCGAAGTATTATTAGACTGTTAATTTGCAACAATGCCTCAAATTTTTCGGCAACCTGTTTAAAAGATGATGCATGCAACGACTGACTCCGTACTATCTACGTGTAGTTTTTTTTTTTTTTTTTTTTTAATTCTTTGATAATGTGTAAACTTTGGCCATAATAGTTGACACGACGAAGTAACGAAAATATCCGGTCCAATTACGTAGGACAACGAAAAACATTTTTACGCATATACAGAACGATATCTTATATTTTGAATACAAATTGTTGTATATACGCGTACTTTTACGTAAAGAAAAAATGAATAGAACAGGTTTTTGGGGTGAAATAACCGATCACGCGGACAGTTGCGCTGAGACAGTCTCGGAATCTCAAAAGGAAAAAACATTTTGCAAGTGAAGATAACCGATTATTCAGGTAATTCCGCTCTTCTGAGGATGTACATATAGTATATATTTGCGCGAGATATATGCATATTTTTTTTGCGATATTGATACAGGCGCCAGTTGTTTTCCCATCGTTCTGAATAGCTCGAGTCAGCGCGGCTTATGTTATTGTTGAAATATAAATAATTTATTTATATATATATATATACATATATACACACAAATCATATATATTTTAGTCATTATATATGATGTTTTTTCGAGGAATGAACGTTTAGTTTTCCTCGTGAGAGAGATGGAAAGCGATGATGTGAAAGATTTATGAATTTTACAATTTTCCGGCTCAGGCGGGAGTTCATTTACATCGAATTTCTCCGAGGAGATGATACTTGGAATTCCATTGTTGTAAAAAAAAAAAAAGAAAAAAAAAGAAAGCTTCTTCCTATATCCGTTGCAAGCAATCTCTCCCGCTGCAGCCTAACATCATGATTTTGATTCTTGCAACAAAGAATATTTGTTTTATTCTTCGTTTTACACACATTGTTAATAAATAAAAAAAAACACACAAGCTATGTTTTAGTATTGTAAAGGATATTAGAGATTTTGAGCTTTTTTGGAAAACAGCTTGTGCGTGCAAATTTTTCTTCGAACGCGCGCATGATGTAAATTGCCACACCAGCCTCATGTGTGTGTGCGTGTGTTAAAGTTAACGGATTTAGCAACACTTAAAATCGCGCGCGTCGAATGAATTTTGTACATTAATCATTTGAATGCATGCACATATGTATAGTTCAGCACCTATGCATGTGTTTTATATCATTCCTGAAATATTCTGCAAATTCTTCCCATATATCTTGTTTTATTTCTCTCTGATGTCAATAACAACAATTTGCATGCTATATGATACTTAGAATTATATGAGATCGGAAGATATATTTATATACGATATATACATGTATAAATTTCAGTTTTTTTTTTTTTTTTTTTTTAAATACAGAGAGTTGAAAATTTGTAAATTGTGATATATCTTGAGAATTCTTCGATCTTTCTCGTGATAAAAAGAGAAAGATGTGCGACGCGTCGTTTTAGATAAGCGAAACGACCCGTCGGTGTGCAATTAGCAGGAATATTTTATTGAAAGATTTATATTTAGCGATTTATTTTAAACGTGTCTTTGATATTTGAAGACGTGTAAAGTGGTGACTAATATAAAAGAGAGAAAAAGATTTATAGCGAGCAATTTGTACTAAAAAAAAAACAAAAAGAGGCGAAAAGTATTTTTCAAAAAGAGAAATCGTCGAATTTTTGATAGAGACGTGAGAATGCTGTCATTCGTCTATTTTGTAAATCTTTTTTTGTGAGAGAGGAGGATAATATGTAAAGGTGAATGGTGGCACATATATATTGAAAGTAGCCAATTTGAATTCACATATGGAAGTAAGAGACAGAGTTTTCTCTTTAAGGATGATAATTAGTTTCTAGTATTTCATCCTATACATGATGCGAAGTGACGAGAAACACCTTACGATCCATCACTGAAACCTTACAATTCGCTTACCGTGTAAGCGTGCTGCGTTTCTAACGCAACGATTCCGATCCCCCGTACTTGTGCAGATCCTTGAGCTTCTCATGCAAGAGGCGAGACAACGTTGGTAAGTCCAGTTGGCATTTTTTTGCGGACTACGTAGAGATGTAGCGAACACGAGCAATGTTCAGCTGAGTAAAGTAACGGTGACTTGATTTTGTTTCAGAAAAAAAAACCTTCTCAGAAAAGGTTTTGCAAGTGCCGCGATACGCGCAAAAAAAATAAAGAAAAAAAAAACAATATCAAGTCACTGATACTTTGTAGATATTTTGTTTTCATTTTTTTATTGGCGAAAATGTACTACATCGACACATACATGTTGAAGTACATTTGCGTGATCGCAACCGTGCCTATAACGAGTGTTTATTAGGCGCAAGAGTTCGTCACGCACCAGAGATTCAAGGTGGTTCGCTGAGAAGCTTATATATATAAAGCGTATAGATTTGATTTGATAACGGGAGACATGATACTATTTCGGTATCGATACAATCTCTCTACTGAGAAATTTTAACGAAAACATGGTTTTCACATGGTTTTTTTTTCGATGCACTATAGATCGCATCGTTGATAGCGGAAATATACTTTATTTTGAAGTATACCTAACGTGATTTTTGTGAGAGAGTTATTAACACATTAACACACAGGATCATGAGAAGGTACTTTTTTGTACGTCTCTGTTTATGAATCGCAAATAACAGCGACAATCTTTGAATAACGCTAGTTAAAAGAATTGTGAAGAACGAATATAGATAGATGGAGAAAAATACGTTTACTTTGAACGTTGATTGTTTTTAATTAATTATGACACAAGATCGTCATTTTAGAGTAAAAAAAAACAATATATAAATTTTATTCTTTCACGGATCTTGACGTTTATTTTTGCAATAGTCAGACATCTGCAATCGAAAATAAGGTTCCTATGACTTAAGTTGAACGAAAAATTTTTTTTTTTTTTTAGTTTCGATCGACAATTTTCGACTAATGAAGTATTACAGAGGGTCAAGTAATGAGCGCGCATACGCGCGAATGACATCGGCGCGGGAAAAATGCGCGATTGCTCTTTTAACTGCCTGAATAATCTTCGTAATTTAGACTGCCACCGTAAGAGCTACGTGCACTCTTTATTCATTACGTTTTGTTTTTATCGCAACATCATCTCGAGACGAATCACAATATCGAATGTTCGACTTTTTATTGAATAACTACATAATAGTTATTCGATAACGAAGTACACACGTACTTATAATTAAAAATCAATGGCAATTTTGTCCGATTGTCTGTTGATAGGTGAAAGATTGCTTATAAGTGGTATGGAGTGCTTTTTTAAAATATATATATTTTAATAGAATGTAGTAAGTGTATGCGGTCGCGTCGTCTCTCCCTTCTCATAATAGCAATTGTTCAATGAAACAAAGATCTCTGACTACAAACAAGAACTGGTATTGAAACTTCAATAATCAAATGTGACTTTACACTTATTTTAATAGCACGTCGATCTGACAAGGAGACTTATATTACGTTTATACGGAAAAACTAGGTTTTTGTTTTTACAAATTAATTGATGCCGCACAGAATTTTTGCGTAACGTATTGCTTGAAATGCTATTGAGATTGTTTTTTGATAAAGCGTAAACGTAATAAAAAATCACGAAGTAAAATTTTACGAAATACATATATATTTTAGGATGGACAAGAAGATGCAAACAATTTAATAAAAGATTTGTGTCTGTAGCGTTTTTGAAGATATCAATAGCTATTTCAAGTAACACACTTCAAACGTATTTTGTTTTCGTATCGCGAACGCGCGCGATACGATTTTATCTGCCTTATACGAAGTATATAACAATATATATATATAAAGTACCTGAAAAATCAAAACGTTACTTATATCTATTATTATATACGTTACTTTATATCCACGCGGTTAATGAAGGAGTACTTGATAATATTGTGTAACAATTCGTATCACGCTTATCATTTTGCTGAATAGATTCACTTACCATATATCGTTAGATAAAATTAGATGTACTTTGCATGCGTTATTTTTCATCAGAGCCGTATTTGTATTACGATGCTCCGTAAAAAAAAAAAAAAAATAACTAAAAACAAAAAAAATATTCAGTTCGATAAGTGCGAGCAGTGTGTTACGATATTCAGTATCCTCGAGGACCGTTGTTTGAGTTACAGAAATTATTGTAAAATGCAAATATTGATGTTTTTTTTACAATATTACTATTTTATTGCATTGTACTTTGCTGGAGAAACAAAAATAGTTGACGAATGATTGATAAAAAAAAAAAAAAAAAAAACATATCTAACAAAGCGTGTTTTGCATCCTGCAAATTGTTTCTGTAAGAAACGATGGTCTCAACAGCCGCTACATTTATAATTAGTAAAAGTAGATGTATAAGCGTGTGTGGGCAACGCTTCTACTTGAGACACAAGCAAAATATAATTTGTAGTGACTTTTATCTTCGATAATAATAATAATTGAAAACAAACAGGGTACATAAAGATTAGAATTATCGTTGAGGCTCAAATAGAAGCGATGAATACAAAAATTTAATCATAAGCTACTCTTAGTCATAGTTTAATCATATTTCAGCTCTATCTCATCGTGCTGTTTACTAATTTCTTCTTTCTAGATGTTTCGTCAATAATGCAGTACAATGTTTTTTTTTTTTTTTTTTTTTTTTACTCAAACTGGCCAAAGCAATACTTTTTGTATTGCCAGTAATAAAATTCGCAGATGTTCGCAGATATTTCTGTCTCATTTTCTGCGAAAATTATTTTTTTCACTTTTAACAATTTCGTATTTTTTCGAATGATGCTTACGCGCGAAGTATCGAAAGCGTAAGTAACGCAAATTGATTGCAACTAATTGTTCAAATCTTTCAAATCGATTTTAATTAATCTCTTCGTAACATACATCACAATCGCAAAATTAATGTGCTCAACCGACAACGCAATTATCTTGCGCAGCATTTAGGCTTGGATTTGTATTGCACTTTTTTTATGTACTGTATCAACGAATCATGTATTGATTATAAAGTATTAATGCGATTTATGCATATATACTGATAATACACGACTTGAAGTATTATACTACACTTTAGATACGTCTAAAATAAATTTTGGATTCTTGTTCAGGAGTGCGTTTTTATGTTCCACACATACACACACGCACACACACACTTATACCATTCCCGTACACGAATCCATGAATCCAGAGAAGACTTTCTCCCTCACGTGTACCTCCATACACTGATACGACGATCTTCTTTGCGAGATATTCGCAAATAATACATGTCCCCAAGTCTCCTGACAACATTTATGCGATTGCGGCGGCTTGCCGAAAGTTCAATGATACGACGCGCAAAGGCAAGTATATCCGCAATAATAATGCGCCTGCAATTGATACAGAGGTACGATGATTGCCGTGTTCCTACGTCCGTTTGCGGCGGCCTTAGTGAAGTCAGCGCGAAGGTAGGGATATTAGAGGTTAAAGGGCGCACCCACTATGTTATTACGACTCACACCTGTACCCACAGGTAGGCCACAGCTCTGGGGAACAATTTTTCTGCTTAAGAGAATCTACTTAATGGCACGACGTTCTGCCCTCCGACAGTTCTCGAGATTGTAAATAAATTATTATTGCACTATGAATGTCGCATGAGAATACAGCGGATTCGATTATGCGGTACCGCAATGAAAAAATCAAGTAAAATTGATGGAATTGTTTTTTAAAAATTCTATAGAGAGATATATACTTAAGTAACGATCAAATGATTGTTGAAAACGAAAATATACGTGTGAAAATTGTTACATCTCTATTTTGTGATTATTTTTTACGAATATATATATATATGTAAGCGTTCGAGACCGATGTGCGAATGTCGTCTAATTGACGAATTTGAGTTTTCTACCGTGGCTCTTTCATGAGCCGTAAAAAGAGCGAAAAACGAGCGGGGACTAAATTATTTTTTTACGAAAAAAAAGAAAGAATCTCGAACGCGAGCAAATGGGCCGCATCGTGCTGCCGTTCTATGACTCCTACGGGGTTTATTCCGTCCCTTCTTACTTTCGGTTGTCTTACTTTCCTCTCTATCGTCTCTTGCAGCCCCTACTTCGACTCGGCTTACTTAAGCAAGCGGAGCTCTCGTCCTCCGCCCACCGGCTCGGAGTCACCTTGGCAAGGCAAGGGTTGAGAGGGCGAGCTGTAAATTACCAAGAGGGCATTTTGATTAAATTTTTTATGGTAGTAGGCCGGTTACAACTCGAGGGGCTGACGTAACTCGGGCTGATTTAATGTGTACGTTACAGCGTCGCTTTTATTTACCATTCGCGCTGCGAATCTCTGATTAGAAGCAATAATTTCAGAGTTTCTCAATTATATATCCAATAAAAGAGAGAAAGAAAGCACTTGTCGCGCGATAATTTGTTCGACGACTGCAAGAATTAAAAAAAATTGGACGAGAGAGAAGCCGGAGAAAATCTCCGAATTCTTTCGTCAGTCACATTTTGATGAGATAGAGGCGTGGATATAAATGTGTACGTGGGACAAATAAATTTTTCTGTTTCTTATTTTTTCAACGCGCCGTTCGTGTAATACATGCAAACAATCGAACGTAAACAGGTAGAAAAAAACTGGCAAAGCATATTTTTTTTTTTTTTTTTTTTTTTTCATTCGGCGCGTGTAATGCGGCGCGCGAATAAATAGTATATCTCTAAAGTTTACACTCGAAATCCCAAGTCGTTCGTGGAACGTCCACTAAGGGACGCGTTTAGTTGCGAGGGCGAAGTGACTCAACAAGTGTTACGCCAAAACGAGCTTGCGTCTACGGTTTTGTCGATCACAACGCGCTTGTCCCGCGCGGCATGGTCAACGAACGGGCGTTCCTCTTAAACCCGTTCCGAGAGATTGCGAAATCGCATATTAATTTTCGCGATGCTTATCTTTTTTTGAGTTTGAGACTTTCAAATGTCGCGTCAAAACTTGAAAAATATTATGTGTGATATGTATTCTCGCTTACGCACGTAATCGATGTAAATGTCGTCCGTTGTGTTCAGGAAATGTTTTGACCTCTTACATATGTTTGCATATGTTTACACAAATTAGGCCAAAAATAAAATAAATTGAAATACTTGCAGCGTTGAAATATTCAGGATGATGCGAACGCGCTCGGGGTGAGTTCGATAGCACACGCGGAGGGAGTGTAGGGAGGGAACGAGAAGAGCGGGAAAAAGAGAGAGGAGAGAACGCGAGAGAGGACAGTGTACTTGCACCGGGCGCGCGCGCACGTGGTCGCGAGAGGGTGAAGCGGGCGTCAGCAGGGCTATCGGGAGGGCATAGAGGGTGGGAGAGGGAATGGAGGCGGGAGGTATCACGTGAGCCACGAGTAGGCCGAGGCTCCGCCTCCGTCAAGTAACTCGGAATACGGCGCGTCATTCATGGCCGAGCTAAAGGCTGCGCCACTCTTCGGCTCCGACCGACTGCAGCGGCTCGCCAGAGGATACTACGGCGCGGACACCTGTCTCCCCCGCAGCATCCGCATCCGCCGTCGCGCCGCCGCTGCCGTCGTCGTTGCCGCGTTCACCGTCGCGCCGTTTCTCGCAGAGCCAGCAGCTGTCACGCCGCCGTCGCCGCCGCCGCGACGATGCCTCGCGACGACATGCATTCACGGCATTCAAGTGAGTATCGCGATCCGCGCGGATGAAGAGACCGGTCGATGGTGCGGTGGTCGAGAAGTTCGCGACACGAGAAGCCTTCCCGCTCGACAGGTCCGCGTCGACGGGAAAAGGCCGCCGGCGCCCGAGCACCGGCTGCGCGGCTGGTGGGCGGGTGCGGACACGGGTGCGGGTAATAGTGACACGCAACACGCACAGTGTGTGAGTAATAAAAGCGTTTAAGTGCGAATTATATCATCGAAGAGCCAAAAAAAAAAAAAAAAGAAAGAGAAAAAAAAAGAGAAGGAGAGAAAAAAGAGGGAGAAAAAAGAGTGTTCGATTCGAAATAAACTACGGAGATACCACCGACATTCGTGGTGGAAGGGTGGCGGATGCACCGCGGAGGCGGAAGTGCCGCAGGCGCAGCCGGGGGTGGTATCGTCGGTGGTGCCGGCGGAAGTCACCGTGCCCTCGAGTTGGAGCATCCGTCGGCGATGCCGGGCGCACCTGGTTTCCATTGGGGGGCCATGCTCGCGGGTCATCACGCGGGCATGATGCAGCCACCCATGTCAGCAGGCAGTGATTTCGTGCAAGCCGCGGCTCATCACGGGCCCGCTCATCCCGCGATGCCCATGGATCTGCACGTTCATCAGGGATTCCCCTATTTCCCTACCAGGTGAATGGCCAAAAAAAATCCGCGTTTTTCTCTTGCGCGGAGAAAAAACGGTTCTCGCGGTTTGTTATTTGTTCGACTCGTTGTAGTTGTAATTCGCGAAAAAAAAAGTCTTAATTTACTCGTCTATGTAAAATAAAATTTATGGGTGTACTTTGGCATTTTTCTGAAAAACAAATAACTTTGAGTTAACCAAAAAAAAGATGTAAAATGGGAGATGCGACGAAATTTACTGACTTTTAATTCGTTCAAAACGTTCGTTTTCTGCGTATCTGTCTCGCGGAATACGCTTTTAATCAGAAAACGAGAGTAAATAATATATTTCTTTACGAGGTTAAAAGTAGCTAAGACTGTTGGAAAAAAATGGACGTTAAACCATATTATATCGCAAAGAGCCTGACAAAGTCGTTGCATTTCTACCATCGCCTAGTCTAGATGCACCGGCAAATGGAGAGGCCGCTTGTCTTGGTCTCTCAGTATTTGCCTGGTAAATATTTCCTCGATGGGGAAGTACTCCCATATTTGCCCATTTTGAGCAAACACTTGGCAAAGTACTAGATATTTTTCACTTCATGTAGTATTTTGGTGTAATATTCGCGTGTAGTACTTTGTTATAATATTTCGAATTGACGTTCGCGGCGTTCGTAGCTTTGTAATTTGTTTAAATTAAAAGATAAATTTTAAAAACAGTCGTCTCGTGACATAACATTTTTTGTTTTTGGTAAAAATCTGAAAAAAAAATGTTTTACGTAGATGATACATATATGCATATGTTTTCTCGTATATTTATATTTATATGCGCACATGTGCGTTGTTGTGTAAATATAAATATATTTGAATTTAATAATTGACAAGAGAAGTTCGCGAATGCAAACTCTCTTTAATTTCTCCGAGACTCAACGAGATCGACGATATTATCGAGATGTTTCGTTTCGAAATATGGTACTGTCATTCTTTCTTAATACGAATACACGCTTTCCATCGTCTGCCGTAATTATTAAAACACTCCATGCCCATATGCCGCGACGTATAATCGCTCGGAGGAAAGCAACGCATAAGAACAGTTCTCGTAATTATACTCTTCGTGCGCTTAATATCCCGGCAAATTGTATTAAGATTTTTTTTCACTTTGTAACATATGTAACTACTAATCTATTCGGCGAGATGCAAAACTCTTCCCTCTCTCGTGCACACACCACGTGTAGTTAAATCCATTTATTTTCGCTTGCACCTCTCGCGCTTTGTGTGTGTGTCTAATTGAAAATATATCCTCTTTCTTTGTTTCTTCCGTTGAATTATCTCATAAAGCAAAAACGATTCGATATCGAATTGATCGGCTTTTTTTTTCCTTTTGAAACGTGTGATCGCGCAACGCGATGTCGCGTGATGGAAATATTCGCGCAAGCACCAAACAAATGTGTACAAGTGACTAATCTCACGCGTTCAAAAAGTGTGTACGTGTGTGATAAAGTAGCAGCGATATTTATCCTTAATTGATAAAAGGAGATTCGTATCTTCAGAATATGAGTTAATATAAAAACGTTTATCCGATTTATCGACGCGATAATTTCGATCGTGTGTCAATCAATCGTTTCCGACAACGCGCTAGATTTCAAGTAAGCAAATTACGGTGCTAATAAGCACCGGAAAAACACACTCGCTACATACACACACACATGTGGATCCAATGGAAGGGGGAGTGAGAATTCTAGACGCGGGGCACACGCCAGGGGGGCAAAAAACTTATTATAATGCCTGCCTCGTACAAGTTATTAGCATTCCGCTATCAATTATCCTGTCTGTCGTGCTTTC